ATATCGTTCCAACACTTTATTAGCACTAATTTAGCAATTAGGATTTCCCCGGTTGCACTTCCCGTTGTGGCTGAGCGTGCATATAGCTGAGTGCACGTTCTGCAACTATACCCTTTTGTGCGCTTTCAATCGACAGTCTCGGAAATCAGCTAACACGCCTTGAATCTTTGACGTAATTTCCTGTTTTAATTACAAAACGAGCAGAAAATTGCGAAGCGCGCACGGATTTCAGAAGCGAGCAGAAAACTAAGAAGCGCGCGAGAAACGGTGAATCGAGCGCTAGAAGCGAGCGCGAAACGGTGAATCATGCGCGAGGCTGCGAGAAGCGAGCGCGAAACGGTGAATCAGGCGCGAGGCTGCGAGAAGCGAGCGCTCTTATCTGCGTTCCAAAGGCGCAGTGCGCGCTCGTAGTGTCTGTTTTGCTCGGTTTATCTGTGCGTCTGCGCTCTCGTATATTTGGCAGTGATCTCACTCCATAGTATACCCTTATGCATAAGGACGCACCCCTGCATGTTCCTGTCAGTTGATCTCCTCCTAATATGCTTTTCATAAATCTGCACAATGGACCAACATCAATAAACACTGCGAACTTCGTAATTAAGGTACTAATAAAACAGTTACTGAACCAGTTTCTTGTATACGAAACAATTTAGCTGCCGTAAGTCAGTAATTATTATCTATTTCTTTAAATATGTTGGTTGCTAACAGTATTTCGTGGTAGAATCAAGGGGGAGAATTAAGTTCACCGTCATAAAGACAAATATCTTTTTTATTTATGTATTTCAGATCACTGTGCCAGAACATTCTCTTCATTGTGGAGAAAAATAAATTACTAATTATGTATAGGGAATAATATTGTGTAATTTGCTTTGATTATTAAAGCCAATTAAGGACTTCCTTGTTCTCAAACTAGTAAACTGATGACGAGACAAATAAATATCCTGCGTTCTCGTTCGGGGCTCATCGTCTACATGTCACAGTTTATCACTTTTATGTGGGGTTAAATGCAGCCTTTGTGAAGTGAAACAGTGATAAAGGTCTTCTAAATGTGCAAGCGAAATTTAATATTTCTGTTGCATAATTAGATTGACGGAACTACGTCTTTTCCCCCTTCGAATGGAAGAAAAGAGCAGTGCGCGCTCCCGACAGGGGGTGCATTTCACTGCAGGGGTGCAGAATTCGGCACAACACCTGTTCTTCTATGCAGGAACTTCTATGCAAGAAAACTATACAGATTCAATAATAACACATATACCGGTACCTAACTCGATTTCGCACCGTATGAAAAAAGCAGATATAAATTAACATACATTTGATTGTATAGTTTGGGGATACACGGGGCAGTTCGCCATGTCCCTAGGTGAGAGATCACCGACCAATTTTCTAACTAAGAGACAGTTTGTGAGATTTTGGGAAAAAAAATGCTACACTTTTCCTACTGTATCCATAACTTCACTGCCACGATAGGTGGCTGGTGTCGCGCATGCGTACGCAGATCTGGCAAGAATCGCAGATCGGACAGCAGTGTTGCCAAGTCCGCTTATTATAAGCGACTTTGGGCTTGTTTTTTTGTAAAGTCGCTTACAAATATTGATAGTCGCGGGTCGCGTTTTTTTGGGCTTCTTTCTAAAGTGTAGTTGCTTATTTGGGCTTGATCCCAGCTCCATAATAAGTTATCAAGCAGATATTTTCTATATGTTATTTAAACCATAGACAGATATAAACGATTTAAACGTAGGAGTTTGTCTAGAGTACTGTTCCCTCCCTTCCTCCCCTTTCCCCATACACACAAGAGACAGCAGTTTTTTCCCACCCACATCCTGCTTCTAATTGGCTCTGACCCAGATGGCAACGAGTACTAGCCAATCATAGGCAGGGCAGGGCAATCTGTTTTTTTCTGGTTAGGAAAACGTCAGTGAGTGAGTGACGTTTAAAATTTAAAGTTTAAATTTTAAACGTCACTCACTCACAGTGGTCATTGTCCTGAAGGTCAGGGGGGAGAAAAATAAATAAACTACTGTATTGACAATCTGTATCCACAGTTTAAAATCCGTCCCCACGAATTGTAAAACTGCACACAGTTTATTTATTTTTCTCTTCCCTGAACCTAGGGGGGCTCCGTAGAAAAAGTCGCTTGTTTTGGGCTTGTTTTCACAGGCCTGGTTGCTTATTTATCTCGCGAGATCTGGCAACACTGTCGGACCATAGGTGTCGGACAGCCACACACAGCAGGAGCCGCTATCAATATGCGGGAACTTCCGGAAGATTTGGGATGTCTGCGCATTGTCTCCTGTGACACTACATATCCTCTTTGAACAGCACGCAGATGTAGCCATCGATAGCCTTGCAGACTCCCGCTGCTAGTGATCTCACGTTCAACAAAAGCGGCAAGTTCATTCAAGTCCGTATTGTTCTTTCTTCTGAACAGATGCAGTTTGTGACACAATCTTTTCAATGTCCGAATACTAATAACGATTTGGTGCTGATGTGCCAGAAGAGCAAGGATCTCTTTGTTTGTGAATCCTATTCTAAAGTAAAGTTTTACTATATCCTCAAGTTCAACGTCCCTCATTTTGCCACGCAAAGTCCTTACACGATTCTGAACCTTTTCGCATAGTTTTGAATGACTTTATTCTTGAAATATTGCAGGTTTTTTTCTCCTACCTTCATGACTTTATTCTGGAATTATAACTTTATTGTGGCAAATTACAACTTTAATCTTGAAAGTTCCGACTTTATTCTGGAGGTTTTATATTTTTATTTTTATTAATGGCGGCCCTAAAACTCCGTCGTACTAATGCAATGCACTGTGTGGGTGGTTATTTTGTGTACTTGTCTTTTATTGTAAATATGGCTAACGTTTATGCAAACGAACCTCCCCCTGTCTCCAACTAGCCCCCAACCCTTTTTCACACACAGCGCCGTGTTCAAAACGTCGTGGATATGACGCACTATTTTGTCGTTTTGTCCCGCCCCTTTATCAGATTGGCTTGCCCCACGTCCATCACGTGTTTGTGGTCGAGTCAGGAAGTAAACGGCGAGACGGGGTCGGTTTCATCAAACGGGCGATAAGAAATGAATGATCCGGCGGCGTTTACTGGTTCCGTCGCATCGCAGGACACAGTGCCGAATGTGCCCTGATCGCAGAACGTCCCTGGTAGATGTAACGATTTTCGGAGCCCCAGTATACCGGCTGGTTTGTGCGCGGTGTCCACGGTTCCGTAGTTTAGCTTCGGGCTCTTTAAGTTTGGATAAATCTTACGAAAATTATGGAGGGAATTCTGTATAAATGGACGAACTACATCACCGGTAAATTTGCATGTGGTTTTTTCTTGAACCTTGGTTTTATATCAGCTGTTGGTGCGTTTGCATGCCGCCTGTCAGGCCTTGAGCTCGCCGTCTCCGCAGCGATTTCTTCATCGCACCAAAGCTACATTTGAGCTTTATTGTGTTCATTATTGTGTACAGCCCCTGTGCTGCGGGTGTTTCAGCATGGTCAGAAATATTGAAGGAGTTGTACTAATGTCTCCAGGGTGGCAGCCGCGTTGGTTCGTGCTGGACAGCGGCATCCTCTCCTACTACGACTCCCAGGACGACGTTTGCAAAGGCAGCAAGGGCAGCATAAAGATGTCTGTATGTGAGATTAAAGGTAAGATCGTCGCCCAACTCACTGTAAGAAGTACCTCATTGCATGTTGCAGTGACTACAGCGTTGTGGTAAGGTTTTTTGTGGTCATGCGTAGTTCTTAAGAAATCGGTAGCAATTTCTGCATTTGAGGAATTGTTTAGCTACTACAGTCATCTGCTGTAATAATTGTACTCTTATCGGTTATTAGATGTTCTTATTCAGTCGTGTGTTCAGGTGTGTACGGGTGTGCGTGCGTGCGTGCGTGCGTGTGTGTGTGTGTGTGTGTGTGTGTGTGTGTGTGTGTCTCCCAGTTCACCCGACTGACAGCGCCCGGCTCGAGCTGATCATCCCCGGTGAGCAGCATTTCTATGTGAAAGCAGTCAATGCTGCTGAGAGGCAGACCTGGCTTGTGGCTCTCGGCAGCTCTAAGGCTTGCCTGATAGACAGCCGGACAAAAAAGGAAAAAGGTAGCCACCCTCATCCACAGAGTTTATGGCTGTTTCTCCTGCTTATGAGTTACTATTTTGTTCAGTGAAAACGTCTCTGTTTTAACATCAGGGATGTTATTCCCATCTCTGGTGATTTATAACTGCATAAAACTTTAGTCACATTAGTAGAAAGTCTTAAACGTTTGTGTCCACATGCACAATGTAAGTGAAACCTTTGCTCACCCTGTCAGATATAACAGAAACCACAGAGTCTCTGAAAACAAAGATGTCGGAGCTGCGCCTCTACTGTGACCTGCTGGTGCAGCAGGTTCACACCATACAGGAGTCGGTGGAGCATGAAGCCCCTCAGTCAGCCCCCAGCTTCGAGGTAGTGGCCTCACCAACATCATTCACTAGGGTTTTTTCACCGGAAGAGGGTTCTGTGTGTTTCAGCTGAATTTCATATAGGATCTGACCCCACCCAGGGTGAAGCCCAGCATTGTTCTTTATGCTGCCTGGGACAGGCTTCAGCTCTCCCCCATGTATTGGGACTGACGCGTATTTCTTATGTAAATCTGTGAACATGTGTGATTCAGTTGGAACACTGGGGTTATACTTTCTCAGCACTGTTCCCTCCCTTTCACCCTCCTTCCAGCGTGTGAATGATGCTTCCTCCTTACTGAGTGCCACTTGCAACACATTTATCAAAACGTTAGAGGAATGCATGAAGATCGCAAATGCCAAGTTCAAGACAGAAATGTTCCAGTTAACACCGCCCGACACTGTCATCTCTGCATTGTCCCCGTCCCCCATGCAGATGGTCCGGGTAAATCATCGTCACAGTTGTTTACTAGTTTTTTGTTAACATGTTTAGATATTTTCATATAAAAATGTTTAATTTTTCCCTGTTTGCGCTATCATTTTCAGATGAAGCGTTCCATCAGCCATCCAGGCACATACAGTTTTGACAGGTAATCTTTGGAAGCATTGTATTCTGGGTATTTTTCTAAAAGTGAGCATTCTTGATTTTGACATTCATTATCTTTTAATTAGGGTTTTATAAATGTACAGGTTTGAATAATGATTTATGTGAGACAACACTACAACAGCAGCACAGAGTGCTGCTGAAACTTTTTTGTTTGTTTGTTTTATATATAAACTCTGGCTGGTTATGCTTCCCTGTGCCTCCAGGAGCAGCCAGTCCCCTGGGCAGAACCCTATGCCCCATCACCGGCTTTCCACGAGACGAGCCCACACCACCTCAGAGACGGAGTCACAGAGCGATGGTTATACCTCAGAGACAGACAGTAGGTGCCGCTTTTTTTTTTTTTTTTTTTTTTTTTTTTGAGTTTTTATGTTTCTGTGCTCCAGCATCTCAGCTTTCTTACCCGTCTTACCTTTAGTGATAGCTGTCTGCATCCATTCATATTTCTTGAGCAGCTTGTTGGCTTAATTGACTCATTTTCACTGCTGTGTTTCCATATGAAGGGCTGGTACACTCTTCCAAGGTGAATGTCAACAGTGAGCTTGTCTTGAGCATCCCGGAGGAGATGAGTATGAGCCCCAAGATGGCAGGTGGGGCGGAGTCGGCCACTACTAGTCTCTCAACTTGAACTCTGACCGCCACATGAAGGACTCTTGCAGACACTGTTGCCACAGGAAGTACCAGCTACTTCCTGTCAAAAGATTTCTCTGCACTTTTTTAAAGACATGCCTGAAATGTTTGTATTCTTCCGGTTTTAATTGATCAACATGACAGAACAGAGTGCAGAGGACTGGATTCATGGGCTCAGTTGCAGTGGGGGGGGGGGGGTGCTCCATGTACTCACCGTCTAAGGCGTCACCACACCAAGGACTGATTGACCATGCCATGCCTCACCACCACTTGTGTGGGTATACGACTCATTCTGTCCAGAACCTGTGTTTGCTCGTTCCCAGTCACGATAAAAAAGTTCTATTTGCCTTAAAAGTGATTTCAAGGGTCTATTACAATCTGTCAGCCATGAAGCAACACAATGCCAGGATAAAATGCACCTTTTATTTGCAGCATGTTTACATGGGATTTTAGGCTGAAAGTAACAGCATTCCCCCCAGCAGAGCCAGAATGGGAACCATACAGTTTATCAACTGCTGTAGATAGTCACATTTTTGTATACTTGCTTTAATGGGAGAAAATGGCAGGATTATTTTTAATGACTCTCATGTCGGCGCCTCAGTGCAGTTCCAAATGTCATTCCCAGCTCACGCTGTTCTGTTGGTCCTACATTTGATGGTTACTTGCATGCATCTGCTTGTCAGGACAGTGTAATTTTTCTAGATCCAGGAGTATGTAAGGGCTCTGAAACACACGTGACCAACCCCACCCCTGTCAGCCATCATAAGCAGTCCAGGATGAGCACTGGGGCACTTCAGAGGCTGAAGACACATTTTCAATCTGTACCAACTCTTATCGGTTTTTGAGAATGATTATGGAGCCATTCTTTTAAGGTTAGCGGGTCACCTGAGCTGAGTTGATGCATGCAACCAAAAGGACATTCTTCCACACACCACAGAAGACTTGTGCAGCATAGGTGACTGGACAGTCAGCTGACTTGGCCTTTCAAACAGATACCTGCCTGTCCACTGGGTGATTGAGCAGCTGGCTGATCTTTAATCTTTAACCCTTTGAGCAGGTATCCTCATTTGGGCTGGTTGAACACTGTACTGAAAAAATGTTTCATTTGGATCCAAAGCTGATAAAGTAAAATGGAGGAAAATGCCTGTGTACGAAAATCAAACATGGCTTAGGGAGTGCAAATCATGTATTAAAAAAAAAATTAGTTAAACCTCATTCTGTTCCCAAAGGCTGCCGTCTTCTATGAAGATGGAGCGACTTGTGTTTGGAAATATGTACATTAGGACTGACCATATTTTATGTTTCTTTCTGTTATGAAAGTGGCATCAACTATGCTAGTGACTAATAGTCTTTGAAACTGAATGAGGTAAAATGATTCTTCAGTTGTGCTTTGTAACCAAAACCAGGGAATGTGCTTATAGACCTGCACACCTTTCCAAATGGAGCTACTGTGGATGTAGAGGGTCCGTGTGTCCCCTCTCAGGATCATGGTGTTCTCCCACTGCAGGTCAGCCATACTCTCCTTATCGTTTGTGATCAGCTCAGATGGAGAGCCAGCTCTGTCTGTGTTTAAATAACGTGAGTAACATTCGTATTGCTATGATGCGATGAGCCCTCTTTAGTTATGCATCTTACAGAAACAAACCATTATGATAGAGCTGTGATGTTTTGTATCTTTTTCCTCATTGATAATGGTTTAACAAATCACACATGCAGGGTTACTCACAGATGTAACCTCGTTGTGATTAAGCGGTCTCATAAAGCTGCAGCAGCACCGAGATCCCATTTGCACCTTTGGCCCCTTTCATGCCAGGTAGGATGTGCACTGATGTGTAGAGAAGCATCTAGAAAATGTAAGCGCAACTATGTGCTAGTGATGTGGAAGCCATGGGGAGCATCATATCACATGCTGAATATTTCAGAAATGACACACGGACCGTAGTGGTCATGCTGTCCAAAAGACGACAGGAAGAACTGTGGAATTATGACAGTGATGGTAAATAAAATGGCACAGACCATGTTCAGGTACATTTAACTGCTCAGCAGGGCCCTGCTGGCCATGGGGGGGACACACGGCAGGTTTGGGAAGGAGTGAAAACATATGATGATTCAACATGGGTGTGTACACACCGACACATGGATAAGGGTACAGAAAAGAAATAAACATGGATGGATATATATATATATGTGTGTGTGTGTGTGTGTGTGTGTCTCCCAGTT